AAAAAAAGTTATTACTAAAATGATCAGCGCAAAATTCTCTACAATCCCTGGAACTTTGAATGAATTCTGGCTTGGTCGCCGGATCGGCTGGAGATTTTCGGTGGAATGACCCTACTCTAATTATCATTCTCATGAACAAAAGGGAATTCCCCAGGTCAAAAAGTCAGACGTAAGATCTTGTATGACTAGATGAACTCATACAAAATATCGTCGTTTCTGAAATCTTGTAGTAATTATATTGTAAGATAATCGCATGATCTTGCAAAAAATCAAGATCGTGTCAGAAACTTGTAATAAGATGTACTTTAAGATTTCATGAACCACGATTTTCTGTACGATTTTTCGTATGATCTTGTAGGATCATTCAAGATCTGATTCAGAATCTTTGTCAGATGTTGGTATTTGATTGTTCGCCCTGGGTCTATAAAAAGGAAGCGCAAATCTGTGAGTCAGGAAGGACGTGCATGCCTATACCAAAAATGCGGTATGTGATTTTCTGAATATCTGAAACGGTAAATTAATGGCACACGACCGTACATTATAGTATTTCAATTTGATTAACCTTTTAATGTTTAATACGTATTACATTTGCATAAACCATTTCAAGTGTTGGTATTACACTGCCTTCTCAAAGTGATTTATGTGTATAAAACTCATCAGAACACGAATCAGGCGAAATGACGTCGGTAACTTGGAACCTCAAGAAAGTAATCGCAGCAGAAAACATTTGTGTAACATAATATTTTTGTATACGATTGTATTAGTTGTTATTGGTGTAGGCATTATCCATGCAATGCAGTACACTGGTGCGCAACGATTTCTAACTAAATTTATGGTACTATTCAATGAAGAAGTTAACTCATTTGTCGAAAACACAAACTACACATATAAATTCATTATCACTATTGCAACATACCGCCGGAGCAATAAAAGATCCCCTTTTTACGTGCAAAGAGCGGTGCATTCCATTCTCAGACAAACATACAAACACTGGGCGGTATTCGCTACTGGCGACAAATACATAAACGAAACTGAGTTTGTGCAAATTTTCAGAGATATACCCATGAAAAAGTTGTTCTTATATAATTTGGAACAACCGGGGGAGCGTAACAATGTGTCAGGTGTCAGACTTTGGCATTGTGCAGGAGCAACAGCTCTGAATGATGCCCTCGATCGAGCTGCAAAAACATATCAAAACACAGGAAAGCTTCAACGGAATGAACTACTGATTGCTCATCTGGACGATGATGATACTTGGCATCCATATCATCTGCAGAACTTAGTTGATATTTATCATCGCTTTCCGTCCGTGCATTTTGCTTGGAGTAAAGGCTATTTTTGTGCATCACGTGCAGGTGCCATCAAATATCCGTACACACAATTACCTGACACCGTAAATAACATGCCACCGACAAGTGGAATGACATTACACTCGACAGTTTCATGGAAGATGAAGACCTTTCTCTCTTTTCGTTATCGGAGGGATTGGGAGTTTGTAAATGAATCCTATCAACCTGCTGATGGGGATATGTGGCAGCGGATGTCCCATTTCATGAGAGCAAATAACATAAGCTACTATCATACGTCTCTTACTACTGTCGAACATTTGGAAGAAGGAGGATCAAAGCCTTGCACTAAAGCAGACAATGAGTCAGTCTGGTACCCAGATCAATTATTCATGAAGAACGAAAAGATATAATTATCGTGACTTGCATAGAAGTCGTTAAATTAAGAGGGAGAGGGAGTACCAATAATCGTCATTGAAATTCTGTAGCCAAGTTGGCCGTGGGTGTGGGGGCTGAAGCGTGAATATTGATGAGCCCACGCTCACCCACATCATCACACAATGTGAAGTATTTCAATTATTTATTTACATATAACTTTCTGGATCAATACAATCTTCATATAGTTCCGTCATTTATACTATATAGAAGCATCTATAGCAGCGTCATTTGGTCTGCACGGCATATATTATATGATTGTTTACGGCGTATCTGGTTAACATGATAAGATTCTTTCAGTGGAGGCTCAGCGGCGTTTATACTGAAAACAAAGAAAAGGTTACATGCGAAACTTAAAAGGTTTCGTGGTACTTTACTGTAATTCAAAAGGTTTCGATAGAAAACACGAAACCTTATAGTAGTTCAGTTCCAGAAGAGGTTTCGGACTCAACAAAGTGTCGTAATAAACCTTTTTACGATTTGGAATTTAACAAGGTTTTGTAAAATACTTCCATATCCTTTTTGGTTAACATAAGTTGTTGAGTGGCGCTTTCTGTCATTACTTCTTTTGTTGCCGAATGAAGTTAAAACCAATCACTTATTTTCCCGCTGCTCACCTTATTCTATATCAAGTTCACTGTTTCCAATATTGAGTACCTCAAGCAAAAGCAAATAGTCGAAGTACTTGTAATTTATTAACGGCACTATATTTCGAATATAAATGGAACAAGCAAAGAACCACGTTGTTTATCTATAAAGTTGGTAGAACGCTTTACGTAAGGTGCGCGTAATTCAAAATTACAGCACTTCTTATTTTTTGCTTAAATATAAGTCAATAGATTCGGTGTTTCAAGCCGATCACGAATATCTACTTATTTTTTCGATTCGAGAAAATCTTCATGGAGAAAACGGCAAAAAATGAGAGGGTGTAAAAATCAGCAAAAAAATTGCTTTTTGGGAAATATCGTTTATTATTTTCCTGTTCAACTTTCACTTCTCATCGATTTGATTTTCTAATTCATCATAGAAAAATGAGTCTAGATATGTTATTTAGAGCTTTTTCAGATGTTGCATATTCAATTTGAAAAGACGAGCTTTCAATATGACTCTGCTTTGTACTGATTCTTTTTGTAAATCTATCTAGTTTTTTTCTCTGATAAATAGTGCTTGTATTCATACGTCATTCGAAGCGCCATTTGACGAGCTACAAAACTATAGCTCGCTTTTTTAAATATCATTTTCCTATGTTGAGAAAATGTCTCTACAATGGTAGCATCAGAAAAATCGATCTAGTGATTTTTCAATAATAAAAAGATTTTCTCATTCAAAACTCGTAGAAATGCGGTTGAATAGGTAAAAAACGATTTAGAATTCAATGGAAATGGTTTCAGTGCTTTTGGAGTGTAGTGAGTCGACTTTTGAAACTTCATCGAGAAAAATTGCGAAGCGAAAGTAAAAATTTTCAAACTTTCATTTTACAATATGTGAAATGAATTGTTGCCTGGCGCCATCAGGCGTGCTTGCTAACGGGTGGGTGATCTGTGTATCAATAGGTGGC